TAATTTTATTTTTTAATGTTCTACGATATTTAGTGCTTAATTAAAAATCTTTATCAATATAAAAAAGACTTATCTTCGTCGATAGCACATTACTCGTAGACGACTGAACAATATAGAGCTTCACTTGGTCTTTATATCTTATTTTTCTTAAATAACCACTAAAGCGTATTTTTAGTCCATGATATAATAATACTATGTTTTCAGATTAGGCATTCATAAACAAAATTCTGAGAAAAGCATTTCCAGACTAGAACTATCATCACGTTTGCTTCATTCAACTATAAGACATTCCTTAGAATCCATTATTATATTTATTTATCCTTTGCTTAGGACTGTTCAGAACTGATAGTCTTTATAAAAAAAGAATTGTCATCACATAACATACAAATACAAATATAAAAGTTTTGCATTCTTATTCATGTTTATAAAACCTTTACAAACGAAACGTAAAAAAACTTATTCAAATACAAAGCAGCTAAATTACTATATATATATATATATATATATATATATATATATATATATATATATAATGAATAAATAGGTAATCCACTTGTGGAATAACGATCAAAGAATTATATTACTTTGGACAATTCCATACCTTTGCACAAATACCCTCCGGACATAAATATCTTTCATATTATAAAAATCATCTTTGAAAATTTTCATTATCTGGCGTAATATTTAATCGTCCTATAAAAATATAATTATAAATATAAGAAATGAAAGTAATAAATAGTATGGTAAATTATTTAATTTTAATAAAATAAAATAATAATTTTAATTTAAGATTACTTTAATAATTTAATGATATTTATCTGTGTCATTTTTTCTATTAATTTACTTCATACTAATTAATATAATTTCAAAATAATCATAAAAATGCAATCTATAATAATACATTAGTACTTATCAAATAAAAAATTTTAAACAAATAAATAAAATATACCCATTCGTGATCTTCCACGCCCTCCACGTAATCTTGTTCCAGTGGACATGTAATTACATCACCCACAAGGATGCTCAAATTCTTTTGCATCTAATGTAAACATTAAAAAATCCCAATGAATTAGAATATTATAAAATAATGAACAATCTGTTTTAATTTCAAATCGTTTTCAAATATATTATTATAATGATTGTAAGTGAAATTATAAATAACGAATAATTCATTCTTTTAACATTTTAGCTTTCGAGAAAATTTTGCTTACGTCTAATTGTTTTGCTCTAACATCGGGATGATATCCAGATAATTTTGTATAAGGCTGAGATATTGATAAATTCCCCATGTTTTGTTTAGCCGAAATTGGCGCGGTTACCACTGCTTGTCCTTGATTTTCAGTTACTAATAAAGAAAATAATTTAACTTTTAGACATTTGAATTTTAAGATTTTAAAACGGACTTTTAAATTATTGCTCAAAGCTCCATTCAAATTACAATAAGCTTTAAGCTCTTAGATGAAATACTTACAATTATCCATCCCAGGAGGTTTTAAATTGATTCTTAATACTTGCTTATTAACTCCATCAAACCACTCTCTTGAACTCATTGCAGGTATCCATGTTACTTTAGTTGGTGGAAATAAATCATCTTGAAAAAGTTCACTCTGCGGAAAAATGCACAAATGATTTTTAATATATTTTAGATGAAAATCTTTGGAAAAAATAAAAAGTCTTAAACTTGATTAATTACTTTAATTCTCGGTACTGTAAAACTTAACGGCTCTATAGTATTATTCGTTAATCTTAAAGCAGATGCAAACTCGACACTTGCAACGTCACATTTATTTTTCGGCAAGAAAGATAAACCTTGATGCAATGAAGCACAACGGTGATGACTTAACGGGCAACAAAACGGTGCCTCTTCTGTTACTTCAAAGGCATAAATTGTCGAGTCGCCCTAAAATAAATAATTCAGTTCCATTGAAACATACGAATTAATTATGAAATTAATATTATCAATAATAGTAATGATAGCGATAATGATTAATGTGAGCTTACTCGTCCTGTAAGAAATAAAGTCGAGCTATCCTCGTCGTAATATGGCATTAAAATTGCTGGAGAAACATCGAGACCAACTGTATTTAATGGAGCATTTAGATTATCTGACTTAAATACAAGTATTTGTCTTTCTGAAACTCTGTAAGGATTGTAAAATTTTATGTTTATAATTATACGCATATCGGATAAATATAATAAATTTCTTCAAAATATTTTCACTTGTTATAATATTTTTATATATATTTATATATTTAATAACCTTATAAGAATATAATTTCACAATACTTACTTATCGAATCCCATAACAACCAAATAACGTCCGTCTAACGCCCATACAACTCTAGCGCCCCTCGTGCCCACTGGGCCTTTGCCCTCTCTAATAGGGATGTCACTGCTTCGTGGCTTATAGATTCTTAGTTTACCTGCTTTGCAAGCAGTGGCGACATACTGACCACATGGTGACCAGGCCAAGCTAAATATCTGATCGGTGTGGCCATGTAATGTAATCTGACTTTTTATCGACAGACCGGATATCAGAGGCTCAAGGTCCCAGATTTTCACCGTCATATCGTAAGAAGCTGAAGCAAGAACGTCGGCCGCCAGAGGATGAAATTTAATGAGATAGATTTTATCAGTGTGTGCTTCAATTGTGTAATTGGGTTCGTTGGTTGGTTCCATTAATCCGGAATTCGGTATTTCCCACAATCGGATCATCCCATCGTCGCAAGCTAAAATAATTATTCGCGTATATTATAATAAAACATTCACGACGAATTCAAGAATATAATGGTTTTTGTGAAATTTAAAGTAACACTAAATGCACGAGTGATGAATGATTTAGGGTCATTGAACATAAATTCAATTATAATAAAGGAACTAAATGTTTCCGTATATCATTCATTATTAAATAGTACAACTAATATAGTTATAATATTATCAAGCAATTACAGATGAAAAAAAAATTTAAAAAAAAAAAAATATATATATATATATATATATATATATATTTTAGACAAATTTATTATTTTTATTATTACTTCAGTATCTTTACAATATTAAAGGGGACAGACGAAAGAATTTCATCTTATTTATACTTGTGATTTAAGCTCACGTCCTATTACAACTTGCATTCGATCAAAATAAAGAGAGAAGATAACTTCGCATATTTGATAAATAATGTCTTGACGCTATAATACAGTGTTTAATAGAAGGTATTGTTTATTTTGGTTTATCATTTAACAAATGCACCCGATCTCAAATTAATTGCAGAGTAGACTTAATCATAGACGAGATTATTGAAATTTAACATTGAAATACATATTATATTTGATACTTTATTACTCGCAAATTAATGTTTATGGATATAAACGTCTAATGCGATTAATTATTCGGTATAGTAAAACTGCTTTTGACTTTAGAATAAAAGAATTTCAGACAATTCTATTTAATATAATAATGTTAATGATTATTCATTGAAATATAAATAACCTACCAACTGCAAGATGCTGATTGTCGAAGGGATCCCATTGAAAATCCATAACAGTTGCTCCATGCACCAAAGCCGGCATAACCCCGTCGGGCAGTCTTCCTGTTCTTTTCAGCTCCAAAACCGCTATTTTTCCACCAGGACCGCTCAAAGGAACGGCTACTCTATCCGAATTGGCTACAAAATACAAATATATTATTCAACGTTTTATATAAAAAGCTATGCTACAATAGACTATTATTATCTTATAAAATCAAAACAATTTTTTACCACACGAACAAATACTTTGTCTTAGAATGACTGATTTAAAATATTTATTTACCGTGAAATCCATCGCATTCTCCGGATACTTGGCGACTGATGTTTCTAATATTTTCTATGTGTGTCGATTTATGTCCAGAGGTACCTTTCAAGTGTCTGAACTTAGATACTCTACCTATAATAAAATAGTTCAATATTTTTTAACAATAGTTCAAGAAAACACGTGGCACAATTTCAAATAGTATGGAAGATGTTATCGAGTTATTGATAAACCGTTCGGTGACTAGCCACCTTCTTATTATAGTTGGGCCTCCATCATGAAATAAGGAGAGAGCGAGTAGTAATCGGCTAATACAGATTTTTCAGATTAAACGCATATGAATGATCGCATCCGACCCAACGACTCTCATAACAATATATTTGAAAATAAATAAATAATTTCGTGTGTCTGGGCACATGATAAATGGTTATGGAATAATAATATTAAATCCGAATACTAGAATTTAATACTAGAGGATGGATTTGGAGACATACAAGATATCGTCCTTTGGTTAGGACGGAACATACCTAAATGCCAATCGTCACTTCAAGGCAAACGAACGAAGGCAATATAAGAATTAATTTAAGAAGAAATTTGACTCCAAATGGGACCACGAAAGAATATTAATTATAATAAAAAATAACAACAACAACAACAACAACAACAAAAATTAATACAGCGCACTTAGATTGCTAGACAGTGCAAGATATGCAGAATAAAAATAATATAATAATCGAGAAATGACGTATTGGATTAAAACGTTGATTACATTATAGGATAACACACAGAGAGAGAGAGAGAGAGAGAGAGAGAGAGAGAGAGAGAGAGAGAGAGAGAGATGAATAATATATCAAACATGTATGCAATAACTAATCGATAAATGTTATATAGTATCAAAAATAAATGAGCTCTATGGCTCTTTAGTAATAAGCAAATTGAGCGTCGAAGTTAATTTCGAAGCTGTAACAACGGAGGCTGATTAGTAATTATCAGACATAGTTCGATACCCAAAATTGAAGGACTAACGGTCACAGTCAAGTCAAATACATTTTAAAGCATAAAAATCAAAGCAGATAGAAATGAAATGATTGGATGAGAACGAAACCAACTGCAACGAGGCTCTCTAAATATTTATTTAATTATGGTTGCCGTTTTTATGAAGTCAAATTATTAATTTTTCAAATTTTCAACGAACGGGAGAAAAGTGTCAAGACAGTTAGCTTTTAATCCCACAATTTCAGTTTACGATGGCGTATTTGTTATTTTTAAAATATACTAAAAGATGAAATGAATTAATTAATATCGCTAAATCGATAAACCAACCATAAAATTAACAAGTATAACTCACCAAATACCGTGGATGTTCTTTTAGGAGTTGGAGTAGTTATAGGTTCCGGCTTCTCGAGTCGTGGATCCATACTTTGCTGTCGCAATATTGGAATAACTTTTTTTACGTCATCCTCCTTAATGATGTCGCTTTTTGTTTTAAAAGAATCTCTTCGCCTTATCGACGTTGGTGAGCCAGTCGCCTTCTCTGCCAAATTACCATCAGTTACCGATGCAGATCTGTTCTCGTATAAGCGTCGTCTTTCAGCTATGGAATTTCTATTGGAATTTCCTCTTTCAAAATTACCAGAATCTTCATTTTCGGGCGATTCATCCTTTACCTTTTAATTAAGAAATGCGTTTCGTGCAATTTTTCTATTACATAAAATGCTGTTTGTATTGTTAATATTTTAATAATAATTTGAATATATAGGTCCTCCTCTTATTTTCTCTCCCTCGCCTCTCTCTCTCTACACACACACACACACACACACACGCACGCACGCGCGCGCGCACACACACACACACACACACACACACACAAAATTCTCCCCATCTCTCTATATATATCTATCTATCTATCTATCTATCTATCTATCTATCTATCTATCTATCTATCTATCTATCTATCTATCTATCTATCTATCTATCTATCTATCTATCTATCTATCTATCTATCTATCTATCTATCTATCTATCTATCTATCTATCTATCTATCTATCTATCTATCTATCTATCTATCTATCTATCTATCTATCTATCTATCTATCTATCTATCTATCTATCTATCTATCTATCTATCTATCTATCTATCTATCTATCTATCTATCTATCTATCTATCTATCTATCTATCTATCTATCTATCTATCTATCTATCTATCTATCTATCTATCTATCTATCTATCTATCTATCTATCTATCTATCTATCTATCTATCTATCTATCTATCTATCTATCTATCTATCTATCTATCTATCTATCTATCTATCTATCTATCTATCTATCTATCTATCTATCTATCTATCTATCTATCTATCTATCTATCTATCTATCTATCTATCTATCTATCTATCTATCTATCTATCTATCTATCTATCTATCTATCTATCTATCTATCTATCTATCTATCTATCTATCTATCTATCTATCTATCTATCTATCTATCTATCTATCTATCTATCTATCTATCTATCTATCTATCTATCTATCTATCTATCTATCTATCTATCTATCTATCTATCTATCTATCTATCTATCTATCTATCTATCTATCTATCTATCTATCTATCTATCTATCTATCTATCTATCTATCTATCTATCTATCTATCTATCTATCTATCTATCTATCTATCTATCTATCTATGTATGTATATTTATATGCATAAGATTTATAATTTATTATTTTTTTATAAAACAAATAAGTCTTCTTTTAAATTTAATATAAAATGTTACAAATCATTATTTATATTTCCAAGTAATGAAAGCACCGTATCAAAAAATAAGCCAAAACTATGATTTGTCTAATATGTTATTAATTCTGTTGAAATGTAATTCGTCGATAAAATAATTTGTCCGTAGAATAATCATAAAATAATTAACGACAAATGATAATAAATCATCGAACAAACGTTAAAATGGTACTAATCAAACAAATTTGAAACCTCTCAAATATTTATTACATTCTATGAATAAAACTGAGCTTATACTTTATATTATACTTTAATTATTTTTTAATAATCGTTACTCCATAAAACAATGTAATAAAATTAGCAAATGTCACCTAATTAACAACTTTCAAAGTCCATTACTACTCTATTTACCTTGACCTCGAATAGTCTGCGTCTCTCGGCCGTACTAGGAGTCTTTGGTTTATACCCAGAATCGCTCGAATTGGCATCCTCCTCGATAGAACTGGAATCACTCTTGATAGGTTCGAATTCCTTACCGCGGTCGGTTTCGTAAGTTGGTGACTTGTCAACGTCATTCATCAAATCCTTAGTGTCGTAACCATCGTTGTTTACATGGCCATTGCTCTCACCGGATGGCGCGTGCGGAACTGAAAACACCTTATCAAATGAAAACTCTTGACTCGCTGACTTGGCTTGAAATGGTTTTGGTCCCAAGCGTGGCTGTAAAAGACGAAAGACGACTCAATTACTTTTATATAAGTATAAATGAACATTCAAGCGAAATATGAAAATAATTGAGACCTATGGGTTTCAATTCTAGTGATAGAAAATTAAATAAATGTTTTATGTAGTTAACAAATTTTACAATTAAATAAGATACTTTTATCTTACCTTTGAAAAGGTAAATTGTACAATTTGTTAAAGTGCAGTTTAATGCATGAATAATAATAATAACAATAATAGTAATTTTCGTGTTAATTGATATTTGGTAAGGAAATAAAAAAATCTCTTATTCATAAAAGAACATATGAAAACAGTGATGTGTTTTATAATATATTATTATTATGTAATAAAGCATAAAGTAAATTATGTAAATACTAAATGCTTTTAAAATAAAACATGGGATTATATAAAAAAAAAAAAAAAAAAAAAAAAAAAAAAAAAAAAAAAAAAAAACATATATAACCACAAGGATAAAGTTTGTTAGCTTATAAAAATATTTGTTTTGCAAAATTAATTTCTTTTTCGAAATGTTTTTTTATTGCCCTTTATTAATTAATATATTTATAATGCAAATAAGTTAATTGCTAAACATACATTAATAATTAAGATTATACGTTGGAATATACACAAGAAATATTTATTATAGCTAAACATCGATACCAACAACATTATGATTATTGATGATTATGATTATATTTTAATACTATTAAATGCTATTATAAAAATTAAAAAAAATTTTAAAATCAACCATAATAATTTCGCGTTTTATTTTTATAAACAAAAACAAACTTTAAAATGTAGTCTTATAAACTGAAATAAATAATAAAATATAATTATATACGCGTACACTCACACACATACAAATTAATAGCTTAAAATATAAAAATCTATGTAAAATAGACCTACGAAAGATAATCCATATATCATTATCAAGTATCAAACCTTATATCCTCCAATGACGTTTGGATTCACAGAGGTAACAACTGATCCAGGATTCGGTGTTGTTCTCGGACGAGCTACTGGCTTCGGTTCTTCTTTTGTTCCCTCCTCCGACAAGCTATTAGTCCTGGAAGCTCTTGGAAGAGGTTTTGGTGGAACTGTTTGAGCCCCATTCTGCATCTTCGATTTTTCATCTTCCATTTTATCGAGCTCGGCCTTTTTATAATCCTTGTCCTCGTAAATGTTATTCTTTTCATGAATCATATCATCTTTTTCCGATATAATGTACGATTGAGCCTTCGCGTATCCTTTTGGGGTTGACATTGCTATTGCCTTCTGCTGTCGAACCTCCAATTTCATATCTTGCTGGTTATTTTTCAAGGTAGTTAGATTTCCTTTATGTACCTAAAGGTCCGATAATTTACTTAATGCTGAATTCAATTCTACTTGGTCTTGGACAAACACCAGCATTTACCGACGATATTCCAAGCAATCTACATATGACATTTTTATAAAATCTATACTTTAACAAATAAAGCCACTTGCTAACAACTATTTATCATCGTCGACATATATAGTTATTTAAATATATTACATATATTCGCACAGTTTATAATATTTATTTAAATATTTTCTTAAATTTTACTGAAATTTTTTTTTGTCTATTTAAATTAAATCACTTTTATTTTAATTAGATGAAACATATTTTTCTCGCGATTTCTATAATTTAAAAGCTATTGATTAGATATAATTGATTTATAGTTCAAAAAAACTTGTTTAAAAATTCAATATTTAGAAACTATTGGAAATATAAATCTGACTATACGCTCTAAACATCTTAATAAAACTATGATAAGAAGTTGAAATTTATTCAATATAGAAAGTTTAAGAACAAAGCAATTTATTAAATTCCTTAATAACGCAGTCAATGATGATAATTTTTGCAAATAGTTTTCTAATACATTTGTAACTAAACATTTTATTTACATCACTTAAAAAATTTACTTGAAACAACTTGTTTAATTATATATATATATATATATATATACACACACTCATAATAAACTGATTTATATACTTATTAAATAAAATAAATAATTTAAAAAAATATATTTTTAACTTCAAACTATTTTTAGAAAATTCGTATTATACCGATACTAATTTGTATACCCCGATTATTTTAATGAAAAATATTTAAATCTTTATTATATATTTTGCTAACTAAGAAAATTGCTATTAAGCTGTTAATGAAAATATATTTATAATCAAGTGACTTTATTTCTACATTACAAAGCAAACATTTGTATATTAAGTGCAAACTTCTAACAAATAAATATGGAAATTGACGATCTAAACATTTTATTTTACTTACACAAAAATTTTAACTACTGATCATCAGTGCCAGTTTTCTCAATATAGAGAAATACAAATAAACTACAAAAATTATAATTGACATCTGAAATATGAAAGAAAATGAAATAAATAACATATAAAATTATATGCCAAAAATTTATGCTCCAAAAGTCCACAGCAATCAAAAGATGAAGTACATATTCTTGATTTAAAAGTCAAATTACATGGTTAAGCATCACTTAAAAGCTAACTGTAAAGTACAAATCAAAATAGTGCATAGAATTAATAAAATATAAAAATATCTATGAATTAATGCATAGAAAAGTAGATTACAAACGTGATAACTAAACACACGCACTCAAATGCATTCGTAAACAAACAATATTTACATACATGTTAAATTACTAATATAAGTAACATTAAAAATAAATGCAAGGATGATAAAGGTTGATATAAATATTAAAAGAATAAAAATATTACCGTCATTGGTTCTTCTCCTTTATTTCTTTTTGCTGGATCTAATGATATTTTTGGTACTGATAAATCATGTCCTTGAATCCAAGCAGCTGCTGTATTTTGAGTTATGTAGCCAGTTGTATCGGGATAAATATCCGCATGAAAATCTCTATAGGTCTAGAAATATAAATTATCTCTCAATAAAGAATTAAAAAAAAACTTTTGTTATTCTGCTTGTTTAATATATACAATTTATTATTATACATACCTTTCTTGGTACTTGATACATAATAGGAATGACCATTGTAGATGTTAGTTGAAGTACTCTATTAACTTCAGCCTGCATGACATTTAATGCTCGTTTTGGTACGACACAAACGCCTTTTGTTTGTTCTCCACTATGTCTAATACCTTCGACTAAATATGGATCCTTTTCTGTGACTTCCATATACATTATCGTAGTATCTCCTTTACCAGCAAGAAATAGCATGTTTGTATCAGGATCGAATAATGGCATTAAAATTCTAGATAAAAAAGAAAATTTTAATATCCTTAGATCATAAGATTTAAATAATGATTAAGCGTGCGATCAAGTTTTCATTACCCTGTGCTACAATCAAGTTCTAAAGTTTTTACTGGATCGTTTAAGTTTCTCAAATCACGAATATACACTTGTCGTAGTCTAGCAGAATCAAAGCCTGTCGTTAAGAGTCTATCAGAGTTTCCCAACCATACAATTCTAGAATCCTTAATACTTTGATGACTGGAAGCAGATTGAACGATACTTTTTGCAGCACGAGGATCTATAACTCTTACTTGCTTATCTTTACAAGATGTGGCAAGTAAAGTACCATCGTGTTTCCAACTAAGCGATTGTATAACTTCTTTATGTTCAACATTAGCTGTTTAAAAAAACATAATAAATTAAAAACAGTAAATATCAATAATATTATAATCGAACCGAATTATAGAAGAATATTTGTATTTAGCCTAAGCTTTTAAATGATATAAAATCCATATCTATTACAATTTCTTTATCAATAATACATTAATATTAAATTTTATTTAAAATACTTTGTTAAAACATTAAAAATAAATATGATAAAATAATTGGTAATTACAAAAAAATTTTACTGTATTTGAATAAACAGTTAGTTACATTAATAAGAAAATATACATACAAAATAATTCTTTCTGAGAAAGAACATCCCAAAGAGTCAATTTTGTATATGACACAGTTGTCAAAAGATGCTCTGCACAAGGATGCCAACGCACAACTTCAACCCTCCTTTGACGATGAGAAAAAATACACTCTGGATTACAAAGTGGTTCTTCTAATCCAATTTCTGGTATGTGCCACAATTTAACCTAAAAATTAACATATCAATATTTTAAAGATTTAATCTCGATAACATAAGTATATATTTATACATACATATAAAATATAAGCTTCTTTGTAAACATTTCTATTAAATACAAATAAAAGTATAAATAAGAGAAATAGCACATTACCAAGCAATCTTGTGATCCAGTTGCAAGTAATCCATCGTGAAACGGAGAGAAATCCATATCTGTTACGGTATCGCCATGTGCATGAAGCAAAGGCATCAATTTACTTTTTCTACCACAGTCTTCTAATGGTAAAACAGCTAAACTGGAGCCTATAATAAAAAATTACATTAAATGTAGCATATTTCATTTTGATTTTCAAATTAAAATAACAAAATGACTATTTATAAAAATGGTAAAAGTAACACAATTAATTTTAATATCTGAATATTTTTTCATTTTTAAAAAGTTCAAAATATTCTACACTACTAATTTCATGATCAATGGTATACCATAACAATGGTTTAAATTATTAATACTTTTCTCATTGCAAATACTAATTTAATAATATTAGTTTCAATATTGTTTTTAACCACGAGCTATTTAATAATGCAATTACAGTAAAACTGTTGAATAATAATGTAACTTTACCATTATGATCTACGTTAAATGCCATAAATGCAGCAGATGCTGCAATATTGTTCCCATAAGTTTGATATGATCCAACACAGATATCACGAATACATGCTTCAGGTTTAGGTACAATAGGTGTAGCATTTTTATACTTTGATGCTTTGAATCTCCATGCCATGATGCTGACTTCAGTTGCTTTTGTATCCTTGTTAGGTCTTACACTATTGAATCATGTAATCTAAAAATATTCGGTTTAATTCAATTAAATATGATTCTTGATTCCAATTAAGTAAATTATTCATAATGCTTCATTGATAAAGAAAAAAACTTATTTCTTTAATAAATCATTTTTTAAATTATTTAACGACAAAAGAGTATAACATTTATACATAAGCTTGTGTATTCAAAAAGATAATTTACATCATTAATTTTTAATAAAACTTTGCAATACATTAAATTTAAAATTAAAATATTAACTTTCATATTTTTAATATCTATATATAAAATTGGAAATTGATTAATAGTTAAATAAAATATTTTACACACACACACACACGCACACGCACGCACGCACGCACGCACACATATGTCTGTATATATGTATATATATAATAATAATTATTATTATTATTTAAATATATAAAATGTATATGATTTGATTATTTCGTTATTAAAAATAATTGAAAATCATGGAAATATATAAATATATTGAATTATCATTGTAATCGATTTTAAAATAAGTAACTAAAATATTTTAAAAATTTAGTTACAAATAATAAAAGTAAATTTTCACATTTAGCAATTTTTTTCTCTTATAAATATCAACATCGAATATTTACTTCAATGTGATAATCTATTTTAATAAAATTATGATAAGCCAATATACGATTAGTATTTTTACTCTCTCTTTTTTATTCTACTAGACATTAAAAGGTATCAGCCAATTAAATAAAGGGCTTAAAACAACAAGATTGAAAAAAAGAAGCTTAAAACTGTATTTGCAACTAGAGTATAGTAATTGAATTACTTTTATCAAACTTTAAAGAAGAACGAATAACTATTTTATTTTACGAACGAATAAAAATTTTATTCCACAAACAAAAAATACCGCTTTGTAGCAACAGCGGTATTATAAATATACGCAACCTTATATATGGATTTATATGCATGTATATATATATATATATATATATATATATATATATACACATATAGATATTATGCATGTGTGTAATTTGCATTGAAATACGAAACACAACGAAAAACAATAAAATGAAAATATACCTACCACTAATAGATTGCTACACAACCATTGACGAATTATTTCGCGAATAACTACACGAAAATTCGTATTCAATTTCCACTTTTCACTATTCAACTCCAAGCATAAATTTTTCACAAGACCGTGCGTACTGACAAGTGTAAATAATAAATATAATATACCGTAGTCCGAGTGAAATTCTCGCAAGAAAGAGAAGATGAAAAAAAGTACACAAAAACGGTCTGACAGACAATGCCGGAAATAAAAAACCAGAAGCCTTCTTACACTCTCTTGACTCTTCTCCCCTCTCTGCTACTGTCGATCGTTCGCTCTCTCTCTCTCTCTCTCTCTCTCTCTCTCTCTCTCTCTCCTTTATCCTCTGTCTCTACATATACAGAGTTAAGTGACTCAGTGGGTATTCGTATTGACGGTCATTCGTTGTAAATTGAAATTTTTATTTGAAAGAAGACGTAGGAATAAAAATTAATATTGTATTTTCACAATAAGTAATTCAATTTTTCTTCATGCGCAACACTTTAATAAACTTGACGATGAATTTTACAAGTTATATTATACGTCATTTTATATATACTTTTATATTTAACTAATTTAACATTATATACAGAATAAGTATATGAATATGTAATAACAGTAATTTTTAATAAATTCATTTGTATCAAACAACTAATTATGAATGACGTATATTCAATCTTATTTGTCTATTACTTAATTAAATATTCTACAAAATCAAATCAAAGTTTAATCAAGTAAAATTGTCAAACTTGATTTAATAAACATTATGTGTATTTAACAGTTTATCGTTATGTAATAAAACTCGTCTCTCAATTAAATTATATACTAAATATAAAATGAAAAGAAGATCCTGCATATCTGCTAATTGCTGTCAAATGCCATTAATTGATATTGGTTAACAAAATATTTAACGCTTATAAACATTTGTAATAAAATGTTATTTATCAATAATGTATTCTGAATTTTTCATAACATAATTTTAAATGAAAAATAAAAATTTTAATTAAAATGAATATATTCATTTAAAATTTTCCGAAATAAAATTTAAAAATTAAATTAAACGATAAAAGAACAATTTTCACCGATGCATTGATGTTCTATACATTATTTATTAATAACGCAACAAACGTTATGAAAATGCTTTTGCAAGCTTATTACCAATTAAATTCCATAAAATCGTGCTGATGTTTTTGAAATAATAATTTAATGTTTAACATGCATTTCAAAACGCCTTATATTCCAGTTTAGAGTGCGAACATTTGGTTGTTAAATGAACAAAATTACCGTCAAAATTACCGAGCGTAGAAGGAAAATTAAGCCACGTCCTGGCGTCACTTTCCTTTTAGACAACAGAGAAATATGACATTCTTATCTTTGTCTAGCAATACAAAATCTACTAGCCCCGCCTACACGGAAAATATATTACCGACGCTTGCTGATATAGTATGATAGAGAGGAGGGAGTTGGAAAAGCATTTATAGTGTTGAAATGAATAGCGGCGACGTCGACGATCCCCTCCGAGAGTCGCGTAGGGGAGCTAATGACGGAAATAAGGGTTCACCCGAACTGCGTACTTTTCAGCATATTTGACAAATTTCGTTCGTATCTGAAAGACTAAAAATATTTTCAACTATTATCGTTATTATAGGTAGAACGAAATTTTTATAATTTATACAAATTTATTTTATAATATAAATAATGCTATTCGTACGAAAAATACAAATGGAACAGAAGGAAAACATTTTTAATTAATTAATCAATTATGTCATTCTTATTTTTATTTTACTCGTTTGTTAATAATGCTAATAAAATGCGATATTTGATAAATATTTAAAGAAAAATCTTTATTTCCACATGTGCTTTTCATTCAATTTAACAATACAATGACAATAATACATAGTGTGAATTTATATATAAACTAAATGTCTGGGGCTTCACGCAACAAAAATAACATCTTTAGTAATATTAAATTATTATTGTGGGAATAACTTTTATTATTATATTATCTCGTAAGCTACAATAAAATATCGATTTCATTTCATTTTCTTAATTGTATTGCTTAAACATTATATGGACAAGACATTTCTTCATATTGTTATAGGATGTAAATTGGACGGTATAAAAACGAATTTATTATTACATATTTATTAGAAAAATTATAAATTTTTATACATTGAATGTTCTATTTATAATTATATTATATTACTAAAGTATTCGACGCTTCATATATCTGGTAAATATCTTAAATTATTACCTGAATACTTGGACGGAAAATTTGAGATTCTCAGTTATATTATTTTTACTAATTACTCCTGCGTAAATATTGGAGTGAAAAGTCCGGCATAATTGCTCATCATTTATGTTATATTGGTTTTTGTGCAAAATTATGCTTTTACGTGATATATACTTTTAAAAGAGAACAAAAATACCATTAATACATACAACCACTTAAACTTTGTAATAGTATATCAATGACATTATTGCGTATAAAAAATACTCGAATATCGGTAAGTTAAAAAAGACGGATTCATTTCAATATGAATCTAAATAGTTTATATCTAACAATGATTTTTTTTTTTTTTTTTTTTTTTTTTTTTTTTTTTTGTTTTTATTGTAATGCACAGAACTGTCCAGCATATTCACACTGTCTTACAATACTAAATTGCATAAAAGTTTTTTGATCAATAAGTTTCATCGCTCTCTTAGAGAGGCATTACTCTTATAAAAAAATATTTTTTATTCTGCCTTCGTACGCGCGCGCGTCTGTATATATATATATATATATATATATATATATATATATATGTATGTATGTATATGTATGTATATGCATATGTATGCATGTACGTGCGTATGCGCGTATGTGTGTATGTTTGCATACGCGTGTTATATTCTTTCATTTAGCTTCAAATTAATAGTTACGAATATAGTACGTAGTAATGTTTACCAGGTATTTTAGTTTTATTTGTTATTATTTAGAAATTTTCACCAATAAAGATGAGAGACTACGCTTATGGCATTTAATATATTATTTTTTCTTAAGGCTCTTTCATGATTGTATTTTAAATATTAATAATGAAAATATAAAAAGTACGTTTTTTTTTTCACGGAAATTAATTAATGTTCAAAAATATTTATAATAACAAAATTATTTAACTGTAAAAAGTAGAGCTTATCGATCAAATTTATATAGAAAGCATTTATAGGAATATTTGAAAATAAGACAGTTTTTGATTTTGTATCGGTATTTCAAAATCTATCTCCTTATTAATCAAATTATACAGGGCTTTACATTCTTTTTAAATAATTGTTATTTTCAACTTTTGCTAAATGACAAATATATTAAAAAGTCATTACCACGTAATAAATAATGAAATAAAAAATATTCAATTGATTTACTATCATAATAATATTTTACGTATTCGATTAAAATTCTTTTAACGATATCTGATTTCTATTGAATTAATTTTTATAAACTCAAAAATTGTCTATAAAATCAGAATTACTTGAATTGCAAAATGTAAGAAAATATTAAGAAGAAAAAAGAAAAAAAAAAGAAAAAGAAAAAAAAGAATGAAAATTTTAGTTTATTTAGTAATAATGAAATTGTAAGAATTTGTTAATTATATTCACAAAGGCATGAAAAATGTTAAAGATATTTATATTAAAAATGTTTGTTTAATTTTCATCTCTGTCTCTGTAAATATAATTCTATATAAATTCATTGATAATATATATGAAAATTGATCAAAAAATTTAACATTAAATTTACTAGATACTGAAATTTATCGCATAAAAAGGTTAAAAGTAATTAATATAAAATCAAGTCTTTTAAATAAGAGTTGACCGATTAGTCACGATTAGTCACCCCAAGTGCGAATCTTTTACATTATTTTCAAACGTAACCAAAAACTTTAAAGAACATTAACATTACAATAATCAATGTTGAGTTCACCATTTTCTTAGATGTAGCATTTCCATAATCCGAAGCATCGCCCATTCTGAATCTATGAGCTGGACTAGACATTCTACCATCTCCTCCATTACTATATGCCAATACTCGAAGATAAAATTCCTTGCCCACACCTAGATTATTAATGATTGCCTCGATCGCACCTACAGGTACGATTGTATCCACCGCCGTACTCATATCTTGATCTGTCTCCCAAACTCTAATCTTAAATCCAATAACCGGCTCCTCATCCTTGATATTTTGCACATAACGCCACGTTACCCTCACTGACGTTGGATTTCTACCAAATACATGTACCGAGGATGGTGGATTTTGCGGGGACTTGCGATAGGTCCGTTCTAAGAAACGTTCGCTTTCGGGCCCCTCGCCAGCAGAATTATACGCCATGACCTTTGCGAATAAATCAATTTTTTTATATTATACAATGCACTCTAAAGGACACACAGTGCGCGCGCACATACATAATGTTAGTGATATTTCATTTTAATATATTGGCTATTTTTAAAATGAATATGAAAATAATGAATTAATTATTTAAGGGTGCTGAAATTTTTGAAAATCTCACTTTTTCATCAACACGATTGATTACTACTAATTTAGCAACCTAATTGAAATTGAGTACATATAATTTCAAATGTTAAAACGTAAGATAGAATATGAATAATAATGCAATAAAACGGCAATACAAGATTAAGCGTGATTAACGAAAATTTTTAAGCAATAAGGCGAAATGATGAAATCAACTTTTACACGGGTAACGTGCTTTTCCACGCTATTTTAATAAGCGAAGCAAATATCTTTACAACCTTTACAAGGCAAATTACCTTAACGTAATAGTATGTGTTGGGTTGCAATCCAACCACGAGAGACCAGGGCCGAGTCGTACGAGACAAATAATACACGGCATCCTCCTCACGATTCTTTTCTTTCCAGTATTTAATACGATGGCCTATGAGTTTGCCACGCACACGTTCACGAGTCTGCTCGATGGGCTGCCAAGTGACGTTCAAGGCTGTACCGTTGTGAGAGAGCGCGGACACTTGTTGCGGTGCAACCTAATAAAATGAACAAACGACAGTTTGACAAATTAATTTTTCAAGCTTCGCCTTACACGTAGACAATGGCTCGACTGAAGGCGGGCGTAGAAATAACTATAATTATTAGAATCTGAAGATGAAGAGAAAATCGAATTAATTAATGGATCGCTAAAAATATCATTGTTCCTTAATATTGGCAAAGAAAGATTGAGAAGAAAAAAATCGATCTCTTCTCTTTAAGTTGCTCCATAATTCATTCCTTTACAAATTTGGACAATTAATTTCACCAAGAATTAATATAGAAGAGAAATTCTTCTTGCATAATTCCTGGCAAATGTCGTTTGTTCGCTGCACGAAAAGTTTCAATTTTTTTTTTTACATTATTCTTTTGCATCTTTTAAAGCTTAAAATGTTCTATCCATTTAATTCGCACATTTGAATTAAAACAAACAAACAAACAAACAAACAAACAAACGAACAAAAATAAATAAATAAATAAAAATAATAATATTATAAAAAAAAATCATTAAATAAATATTATTGCATTTTTAAATCGCCGTAATAGGCACAAAATAAAAAAATAAAAAAAAAATAAAAAAAAAAAAAATAAAAAAAAAAACATTAAATGATTAGCGATTGAAGTGGAAAGCTGTTATCGTAACACAACGAACCTGCGGCATGTCCTCGGCACTAAATATCGTGACAATATCTGATTTTGGCCCGTAGCCAATGTCATTGGCCGGCTGCACTTGAACCTCGTACTCGGTGTAATAATACTGAGACTGAATGGACACTACGGCCATGCCAACGTTACCGTGTTCCTTGAGAGGCTGCGACTGGAATTCCGACTCGGCGTGCTTGCGACGCCAATAAACTTTATAATAAACACCAGGTCCGTATTGTTCAGCTGACTTCAGTGGATCCCACTTGATGGTAAGATCGCCAATTTTGCCTGAAACGGTGATTATATTTAATATAATATTATATGGGAATATGAGAAAATTAACTTGTACGTTAAAACTAGATATTTAACATATATCCTCAAGCGAAAAACACGATTGAATAAGGGATGAAGTACCAATCGCTAATTAGTCAAATAACAGTTTACTCAACTTTTCCTTATTCGACAAGGACATAGATGTTCATTGAATGTTAATTAAAACGTCGACATTTGATAAGGACATGGCGTCGATAAGGCGAAGGCAATACCAATGGATTTGTTACGCAATGCCTCGCCAATGTATCACCACGTTACTTCGATCCGGCAGCCTAATGCCCGCCCGCCCACCCACAATCGTCGCGCCACTTTGCGCATCCTTTTCCAAAATTTCATAATCGACTTACCACCACCACCCCTGATATTCGAAGGAGCTTTCATTGGTTTATCCGAGGGTGTACTGTATTGCGGTGAGGGCATCGAGGCTGGTCCATAACCGAGCTCGTTGCCGGCTTGAACACGAAACTCATAGGTCGTATAAGGATGCAAGACATTCTCGAGATACACTTGCTTCCGTCCGTTATATCTGTCCACTTCGGTGTACAATGTGTAATCTGTGAAATGTCATTGAAATAATGCTCTAGGACATGGTAGTTTAATCAATCCGTAATTACGTTATTGCGAATTATCAAGATTAGTTAGTAATTGCATTGAGCATCACGTCAATTAATCAATTCGGTTAACGGTCATTAATTCGGCAAATAATAATCTTACTCTCTCACTCTCACTCACTCACTCACTCACTCACTCACTCACTCACTCACTCACTCACTCACTCACTCACTCACTCACTCACTCACTCACTCACTCACTCACTCACTCACTCTCTCTCTCTCTCTCTCTCTCTCTCTCTCTCTCTATCCCTAACTCGCTCACTTGTAACATAATTACGGCAAAATGTAATTTAAGGGTATACATACGATAAATAATAGCATTGATTATTTGTCAAATGATAAATTCATAATATGTTTTCTCATAATGCCAAATAAAAGTGAATATCGTTAATTACACGATTAAGCTCTCCGTTAAACTCCTTTTAAACAGATCGTTCAAGGCCAATTTGCGAGGCTTGTTTAGTTTATCGATACACACCTTTAGTGAGATTAAACCACGTGTGATTCCAATTGGTCCTTGCACCGATGGCATACTTAACGATCGGCCTTCCGTGAAACGCTCCATCGGTCCACGTGAGTGTCACCGATGTCTTGGCGACGTTAACGACCTGTATGCCCCCCGGGGGTCCGGGCGGGCCCTCGATCGTAATCATCGTCCTCGATGCTATTCTGCCCACGGCACTCTTGACAATGCACTCGTAATCGCCGGCCTCGGCAAAGGTCGCATTGATAATATGAAGAGTGCCTCCGTCCACGACTATATGGGGATTGGCCTTGAGGTCCTTGTCGCGTATGCGCATGTCGTTGTGCATCCAAATGTAGGCTACGTCCAGCATTTCGTCGGTCTGAGCTAAGCAACGTAGGGTCTGATTGTAGTTGATCGCGGTGACGATTCGCGGTGGTAATGCCTCGATGAGCCTCGGTCCATCTGTAATACAAGTATATCGTGCGATTGGAAAATATTATTTTTGCCCCGTAAGCGAGTCGCTGTAACAACGCCCGATGTCCTTCAACTCTTATTTTAACGATAATTAAATGAGAATAATCGATGCTGTTGCGCTTACTCAGTACTATTAAACGACCGCGCGATTCGTCATTGCCGTACTGATTCGATGCCTGGCAGACGTACGTTCCCTCGTCATCTCTCGAAACCGGGCTTATTATCAGACTGCCCGAGTCGAGAATTCGTCTTCTGCCTCCACTCCCTAGAATATTGCCATCCTTTTTCCATGTGAACTTTGGCCGTGGTGCAGCTTCCGGATTACAAATAATTGTAACATTTCCGCCTTCGGCTGCGTATGTTTCGGGTTCGAGAGGTCGTTTCTTAAACGACGGTTTCAAAGCTATAAAAATCGATCGTATAATTTATGTTCGTGTAATAATAATATATAACAATAGCAATAACAATATGAACTATTTTGCATACTGTAAATATAGTTTTACAATCTTTTTGCCTCTCTGATATTCTCATTATTATCTTGTAGTCTTATGATAAAACGTTTCATTTCAAAGTATTCTTTTTATTGTTCGTATTTTGGAAAATTTATTAGTAAACAAGTTTCGCTCGATTATAAATATACGATAATAAATATAATTCGATGAATTACGCGTACTTGCATTATCGCGATAAATCGATTGATGATTTATTTGAAAATAAACGACAATTGATTTTATTCATTAAAAATATACCTTGACAGCACATTAATTGAAACAATCATTTATGAGTAACATTAACAATAAAAACTTGACAATTTAGAAAAATTACAATTATAAATAATAAATTTTAATGAAAACAAAAAAAAAAACAAAAAACAAAAAAAAAAAACAAAAAAAAAAACAAAAAATCACCAATTGTTGTTAATTATAACTATTAATTTATTCACTCTCTTCTTAAAACATAATTTGTTGATTTTTAATTGTTATGGTTAGAAAGAGATGCTAATTATTTATGTTTTTTAGCATGAGAAGAAATTATTATAGTATATAATAGATCTTCTTCTATTCAAAGTTTCAATATATATATATATATATATATATATATATATATATTATCTAACTAATGCTTACATAAAACTCTCAATTGAGCCGATGAATATTTAGTCTTGAGCTGATTTCTGGCTTCGCACTGATACATTGCCTCGTCTTTCTCTGGATCTAACGATTTGATTTTTAATACATTATCTTGTATTAAGTAACGGTCTCTATCTTCAGGTGGCAATGTATACATGTCCAGAATATCGCCGTTTCTCAGCCAGTTGTATGTGACGTCCGGTATGCCGAAGGCCTCGCATACCCACGTCAATTCGCCTCTGTTATCCATGTGTTTGTCGGCCAGAGGAACCGTGAAGTTCGGAGCCGCTTGGATGGACAGATACAACGATTCCGTAATGGAAGTTTTTTCGTTTCGAGCCCGACATACATATTTACCCTGATCCTCTATACGCACTCGCGGAATAATGAGAACGCGATTATGGTTTGTTAAGTAGGCACCGCGAGGAAGATCAGCACCGTGGCGAGTCCAGTTGTAGGAAGGAACAGGGCTACAAACAATGAAAGAATTATTTTATCTGCCTTTCTATTTCTTATTATCGAATGTGACAAGGTTAATTATTCGTTTTCGATTTATTAAATACTGCAACGAATAATTCAAAAATCGAAATAACCGTATACTTCATTTCAATCGCGTCACTTTCATAACCAAATAATTCCTCATTATTTTGACGTTTTTATATTAAATTTTGCACATAGTATATTAAACTTTAAATTATACAGTATGAAATGTATTCCTCTAATAGATGAAATTGTTCGTCAAATTATTTAAATATTCTCATCTTTTTATTTTGAAAAGTAAAAGTATTTACTTTTTCTTATTTTTTCGACATAACATTACTGAATTTCCAGGGCACTAGAATACATAATTTGGTCAAATTAAATTTAATAATTTCCTTAAATATTTACTGATCTTTTAATTGCTATTATACAAAAAGTGCATCGTATAACTTGTTATTTTTTAAAGTTGTTCTTGATAAAAAGTGTACTATTATGCTGTTATTTAAACAATTTGTACGATTTACAAAATTGTTAATTATAACTAAATTTTAGTGTTAAAGATTGTAACAATATCAATTGAATGGAATGTAATATTAATATCTTACAATCCAAATGCGATGCACTCCATTCTAACTTGATCACCAGCTATCGGAGCTTCTGGGAATATTTTTGGAAAATTAATTGGGAATTTCAATTGCTGCGGCGTTACTGTAACATTAACAAATTGAGTATAATTATTATGAGTTATCTAGAAAATTTAGGATACTCTACTACAATGATTTGTACAGAAAATATTTATACAATAAATTCTACAGAAAAATGAATATTTTATTAATTGCATTTTTTTATGTAAATGTGTATTTAGCTTTAAGTTTCCTTTACAAAGAGTAATTATCAAAATATTCTTTTAAAAAATTAATTAATAAAGTATATTTCACATTCTGCAAAGTATATTGCTTCAGAGACTTACAATGTGGACTAACGTAAAGTGGAAAAAATGGACCGTTACGGCCAGTATCGGAGGCAGTACTTTGTACATTGCAAGAATAATTGGCTTGATCGATCTTCTCAAGAGCTGAGAAGTATAAGGCACCATCGTACGATACGAACAGTCTTTCATTATCATCGTCTACAAAGTATGGAAAAGCCTCTCGAGCCCAGTAATATTTGACACCTGGGAAGTGTTGCGGTGGATCGCAGTAAACCGCTTTACCCCAATGTTCATCGCCTCGCTCTTCTGGACGTTTAAGATTGAATTCCAAAATGTAACCAAACGATAATTCAACGCTCTCGGATCTTATGGTTCCAAACATGTTTGTCGCTTTACAATGATAAGTTCCACGATCTTCGGTCTAAAAATGTTCGTCATTTATTTATTTATATTAGGAAAAATATTATTAAATATAATTACGTATGTTAAATAGATATTAGAAGGGCTAACAAAGTTTATATCGATACCTGATTTGGTGCAAAAATAATAAGAGTTCCTCCGCTAATGGTATATCTAATATTTTGTAATGGATCAATTTTTTTAGCAATAAGTCGATCATTTTGAAAATCTTCCTTAAACCAATCATAGGTTGGAGCTGGATATCCACCAGCTAGGCAGCTTAGAAACACATCATTATTTACAACCCGCTTGGTGACATCGAAGACTTTATTATCAGGCTGCTTAATAAAATATGGACCTCGTGGTATTTTCAGTGGATCGTTAACTTCAATACCGTATTGATAAGTACGGTCATCAGATTGTAAATAGTATAAATTAGCGGCAAGCGCCTCGCAAATATAATAATATAGATCCTGGCCATTGACTTTCTCTAAACCCCAACGTTTAAGTCCTTCGCTATATCCATAAACAAGATAGTCTTTTTTATGCGCATTATCTAATCTCTCTGGCAAAAATGCATTATCCATATTTATTAGCTGAGTACCGTCTTCATTTGTCCAATAACTGCCTTGCATTCTCACGCCCGTATACCATTTACGATGTTGCAGATCTTGCTGCAATAATTCTCTTAATGTATTTCCATGCTCTTCCAGTGAATTGATAGAAAGTAGATCGGCTTGATAAGCTAAGCAATTTCTACGTGCTTCTTCTCTAGATCTAGAACTTTTAATGAAACGATAACACGAGTCTTGAAACGATATCCATGGCTTAGGACACTTGTGATCAATTTCATTGTAATAAAAAGTTTGAGATGCGACGACACTTATTACAACCGATAGGAAAATTAATTTATCTCTTAAAGACATTGTATTGCCTGAAACAAAATATATTGTCCTTTTATTAAATGTCGTATAACAAATTCTTCGTCAATTATAATTCAATCCCATAACACCATTATTATGACAGATCATACGATTTTTTTATAAAACAATCTTTATAACCAACTACACCCCTCACAATAAACAATAATAGTAATAATAACAATGCCAAATAATCCCATAACAAATTAGTTGAAAAATTGCAAATAATATCGAATTAAAGGAATGTAAATTAATTTTTAAAAAAGCACCATTTAGTTTTAAGCGGATTACTCATATGTAACAATTACATTTCGTGGACTTGGTTATTACAAAGGGAGGGGACATTCAGGGAGTGGCTATAAGTCACCGTCTTATAATGTTTATAAACCGCACCGTTGTTAATTAAACGTTTATAACACTTGATTAATGGATCTCCAGTATTCCGCTTAACAAGCACAATTACCTTTACTTTAATATCTGCGTGGTATTTCATGAGATAATTTTATTTAAAAAGTAGCGTCTTCTCCTTTTCACATTACAGCGCAAACTTAGTCAGCTACAACGACCATTCATCCTAACCTAGTCCCCACCACGTCCGCACACACAGGCGCATAAAAAACAAGCCACATCTATCCGTATACGCGATATATCCATTGTGCGCGCGTGTGTACGGGCGTTTGTAGCCAGCACCGCCTCATCGGACCCCACCTACAATATTTCCAAAAGCGACGAATATAATATATATATATATATATATATAATTATAGTACTCATAATATAAGACGCTTTTCCACACATCCTGGACTTTAAAAGCGTTTGTTCGATGGCATCTCCGTGTGGATCGTGAAGGGCCGAATATTTTTGGTATTTTGATTAATCGATCGCTCAAATGTAGAGCTCGCGATCAACAATGTAAATAGCTTGTTTAATTCCTGATTTCACCCACTTACCGACACTCGACAGGCAAATTTTGATTTTAATAATTATTATTTAAACTTGCGCGTAAACATACGTGTATAGTGCGGATGCAATGTATTTACATTTTTTTGTTGTTTTTTTTTTTTTTTTTTTTGTTTTTTTGTTTTTTTGTTTTTAAATTAATATTTGTACATTTTATTAATATGATGACGAATTCCTTATTTATTAGTTCACGTTTCGCAGACATTAAACGAATAGTATTATGTAGGAAGGACTTTATTTCAATAACGATAAATTTAAGACGAATATTTATTTAAACGATTGTTCAACGTAGATAAAGTATAAATTTTAGAGGCCACATTATTAATACAAAAATAACTAGAGAAATATAATATATTTTATTTCATATTATTTCTTTTCCTTTAAATAGCCTACAAGCGTGTAAGATGAATTTTTACAAATAAAACAATTTTATTATTAATAGCATTCCCATAAATTTTCTTGATATTATTTAATTTAATGTATTATTCAATACTATAACAAAATTTTTTTTAATCGACATTTACACTTTCAATTTTCTAATAGACTTAATTGCAATAACGGCATAACTTTTAACGATGACAAATCAGCCAATACAGCCTAAAAAATAAAATTGTAATATGAGTAAGAATTTATATTTCATAGTTTCGTTATTTAATTTTTGTCAGAGTTAAATATTTATATACGCACCTCGATAGTGTGTAAATTATTTACTTGCATAAGATTATCTTTACGAAAGCTAAGAATAGTAACGGCAAGTAGAGGTACTATTTCTAACGAATCGTATCCCAAAATCAAATCCCACAAATACAACAATTGCTCCGGTGGAAGATGACCGCTAAAACCTCGCATTAACCACTTAAAAACAATCTTAATGCTGCAAGAATTAAAATGCAAATTTATATTTGCATTTTATTAATTACACACTCAATTTTTACTCAATGATAAATGAAAAATTATAATTTAATACTGACGGTTGAATGTGTAAATTTCTAAAATGCGCCCATAACTGTGGTTCGTGACACTGTAACAGTCGTTCAAATAATAGGCACAGAGCAACGATACCTTGTTCGTGACTCGATACCGTATGAAGGCGAAACCAATATCTCAAATAGAATGCTCTGAATGTATAATACATAGTACATGGATCATCGTATAAGTAGCAAAAGGGTGTCGCTGCAAAAACATACAATTCAAATGTAGAAAAGAAATAAAAATATTTTATCTCAAGTATCATACCATACATGGTGAAGCCATGGAATGGAATGACGCCGCTTGGAGGAAAAACTAATGTATTCTCTAGGGTGGTAGGTTTGCCTTGTAGAACTGCGTGAATAACTTGTCCACCTGCACTTTTATCCATTGTTACTGGAGCGAGCACTTCCGAATCCCTTGAAAAACTTAGCATAGTTTTATATAAAACATCTTCAAAAACAAAATATTGATCATCGTTACTAGCCGTTAGTTGAACATCCTATTGCAAATGTAATTTCATCGATTAAATACATTGCCATTGTATTTATTAATACAATAAATTAATCAAATAATGTACCGTAATTACCTTGATTATCAATTTATCAACCATTATATCATATTGTAAAACCATTTCTTTTAATTCTTCATAATATTCAATATCCTGTTATAAAAAATTTTAATTTCTATTATTTCTCTCTTACATGCTTCTTGGAATAAAGAATCTTAAGGATTTGAACTTAAAAAAAAAACAAATTTTTAATAATAAATATGAAATAATTTAAAATAAATGATAAAAGAATTATTATGTCAGAAGAAAATAGTAAATATTACATTTTGTTTGACAATAGATCCTAAAACAAGGGACCATAGCTTTCCTCTCAATGCTCTAGGCGCACCACGTTTTAAAAATTCTTGAGCTACGGGAGCATGATTAGACATCAATACTTTTGCACCGACATGTACTCTTTCATTTTCCAAATTAGGATAATTTTGTAAAGACGGAATATTTCCATTAACACCAAGTAAAGTAACGCCTTGAGAAAGTTCTTTATACATATCTCTCTATATACGTCAGAAATAATTATTTTAATTTTATGAATATCCAGGCACAAACACAAACACAAACACGCGCGCACACACACACACACGCAAACATGTATATTTAAAAATTTGTTTACCAATTGAGCTAATGTTTTTACTCGAATTTCAATATGACTAAATTCCCAATTTGGCTCATTCCTAAAATAAAATAATATAATAAATTTGAATACATGAATTTAATTGTAAATATCATTTAAAATAAAAATTACTTACACTTGTTTTTTAAATGATGGGTCTCTAACAGAAAAAAGAACTTCTAAAAAATCTTTTGGCGCATATAATGGCCTGTATTGGGATAAATCAGCTATACAAGGAAGTTAACAAAGTATTAATTAATAATAAAATTTACTTATATATATTATACATAGGTATATAGATAGATAAGTAAAGATACTAATTAAATCTATTAATTAATTGAAATAAATATTTAAATATTTTTACCAAAGTCGCATGTACTTAATTCATTCCATTTTTCAGACAATTCATCTCTATCAGAATTTGGTCGAATTCTAGCTAATGGTACATTTAATTCATTGCATATAGAATTAAGAGATTTTTGAATTCTTCTTTCCCATTGAATTTGTGCTTTTTTTAAATAACTCAAATCTGCTCGATTATCATTATCATCTTTCATAAATTTCTAAAAATATACAAACAATTATTACAGAAAAAGTATAATAAGAGTTATTATAAATATAAAAATATTAAAGCTATGAAAAATGATTTTTTTTCTACATACTTGTGATCTTGTCCAATGAAACACAGTATTTCTTAGTTCAGTTTCCAAACCTTCATCGTTTAATGCTTTGAATAATGTACTTTTAAAGTCTTCTTTCTTTACTGATGAAGACGCCACAAGCCGCTAAAATACATTATAAAATAATTTCAATTATTATATTATATAATACGTATAAAGTGATGCATTTGAGCTAAGTTGGTAAATATATTAATATAGTAAATTGATTCTAATTTTTTAATCCTAATGCCAATGAAATAATTACCTGAATTTCATTATACAGATTTTTATAATTTGTCATACATTGAATATCTTCTGTTAACTTATCAGCAATTTTGTGAAGTTCACTCTTTTTATTACTATTTTCTGTCATTTTTTAAATTAAACAAAATTTACGTTTTGTCAAGTGTGGAGTAAGCAAAAGAAAAACTCGTCGCCATTTGTAAACAAACTTGTAAATAATTTTCATTAATTATTTCAACTATTTTAATTGTTTTTTGGACGATTTAAAAAATCATTATAATATTGATATTATTAATAAGTTTATAATATAGTTCTAGTTTAATTATCTGTATTAAAATTTTAGATTTATATCAAATAAACTAAATGTGTATATTTGAAAAATTATAAAAATGAATAATTATAATCATTAACAAGAGTTACAATTTTTTCATGATATATTTTAACTAAACTAAAATCAACTAAAAGAAAATAATTAAAATAAGTTTATTAAATTATAATTACATTAAATAAATTATTTTTTACACACGCACATATATATATATATATATATATATATATATATTTTTTTTTTTTTTGTAATTAGAATTTTCACAAATAATGCCTGGAAAATAATTATAGTAAAAACATCATTTAACTTTAACTAGATGGAATATTAATCGTTTATAAATTAAATGAAAATACGATAGCTAATTTTAATCGCAATTTTATAAACTATTGGCTTATTAAATTATACAATTTTAAGCAATTTCGAACTTAATTTTTGTCCTTATTTGAATTATTTACACATCTATAATCAATATAAAAACAATGAGCGCTCTTTTCTTTAAATGTATTTTATCCAAAACCATTTGTGCTCGATTTAAACTTAACTTATATAAATATTCATTTATATAAAGACCTAATATAATTCGAATACTTTAATCCTTGTATTATATATTATTTAATAAAACAAAAATAGCCGGCATTGATTGTATAATGAGCCTTCATGTTAGCACTCTTGTTTTACGCAAATATAATTAAAAACAAAAAAATCTTGAATTTTTGTTAATTTAATATCCAGTAATTATTCATAAATGGCTTATTTATCGTGTATTAGCATTACATGTTGATGATAACATGTAAAACATTTCTAAAAAAATTTCAATTTTTGTCGCGATTAAATCTATGCAATAATTATCTTTGCATTAATCAAATAAAAACAATACCAGACGACAATAATTCAAACGTGATTTTTCCCTTGGTTGCGTTTGAAATTATCACGAGTTTAAAATTTAATACTAATACGTAAAATTAATTTTACTATTTTTTTTCTGTCTTATTAAAATACTCTTTATCATTTTATTTCAATATTTCAAATTGTCATTTAATGATTAGTCCCGCAAAGTACAAAAGATTGTAAAGTGCAAGTATTAAGAAAATGAGTGTTAATATGGCGGCGCCGTAATATCAACGTAGGATAATTGCTTGTCCATTGAAGAACTGACTTTAAAGTGACATTTGTAAGCTAGTAGAGGAAAGAAAGGATTTTAAAGGATCTTCGCAATGGACATTTCTTCGATGCTTGAAGTCGAAGTCCAAGAGATGGTAGATGGTAAAGAAAATGATTAGCAACTAAAAGCGTATATTTTCTCACATAACCTATACTATCTTCATGTTTTTATTTGACATAATTCATATCTTTACATATTTTCATTGTTTTTAATATAAATGAAAAAATTGCTTATACCGTTTGCATAATTTATTTATGCATATTACAATTAATTACTATTAAAAAATTTTATTTACTTCAACTTGATTTTACTATGTAGTTACTAAGTTTATTTGTTAACATTCTTTGTATAATTTTTTGACATACAAGAACTTTTTTATTTATTAAAACCCTAATGTTATAATTATATATTCTTCATTGTTTATTTATCAATTAAAGAATGCTTTTTTTTTTTTTTTTTATATTAATTTAAAATTACAATTTATATTCTATAAATTACATCAATTAAATCTATTTATAAAAATATTGTATACACCATTGTCTAAATCAATATTATTATGTGATTGTGATTTTAAATATATTTCAATATCAATATATTATGATGAAATATATATTTCGAAAGATATACTATATTTTTATTCTTACAAACATTGCTTAGTAATTAAAAATTCAGCTGTATCTTTTAAACTGTTCTTTTAAAATTCAGTAACGCCAAGTCATACATCAAATCACAATTTTCCATGTCAAATTGTTTCTAAGGAAGAGAATGATTTTTATCAATTAACATATGGCAGTGGTAAGCCACATCAATTTATTAAAAATTACAATTGTTGTGTAAAAAAAGATTCATGTAATTTTTTAATATATTTCTCAGATGTTGCTTCTATACGTTTCCTCAAACTTCATTGTACAGCTTGCGACGAACACATTGGTTCTGCACCTATAGAAGCATGCAATATGCATCAACATCCAGTTTTGCGTACATTACTATGTACCAAGTGTCGTGAATTTTATGGAGATGGTAGTTTTGAACAAGGTAAACATGACTCCAATTATTTTAAATAATTAAATAATTGAATATATAATGCATTATCAATAAATTATTTTTCACTAAAAATAGCTTTATCATTTAATTTTTTTTTTTTAATGAAAAGACTTAGATTTTTTTTTAAATATGTATTTACGAAGAATAATTGTTATGTTCTTTTCTTATTGTCTTACTTTCTGTTATTTCATCTTCTTTTTTTTTTCAGGAGATGATGCTACAGATATGTTTTGTAGATGGTGTGCAAATGGTGGAAATCTCTATTGTTGTTCTTATTGTAGCAATACTTTTTGTAGTAAATGTATAAAAAGAAATCTTGATCTTCCAACTATAAAGAGAATAGAAGCCGAAGACAGTTGGAAATGCTTTGTTTGTGATATCAAAGATTTATTTCCGTTACGATCGCTCGCCCGAGCACTTTTAACACATATTGAAACAGTAACTAGGTAGGAAAATAAAATTAATTTTATTTTTAAAATATATTTACAAAATATTAATAATATTTATGCAATTAAAATTTAATAAGGTATTATTACATATTTCCATTTTCTATTCTATCATCTTTATTGTAGCATCCTTATTGTAGTAATTAGAAGAATATTATAATATTTACATAATCAATTATACTAAGCCTTTATTGAGAAATAATGTAATCCACAAAATATTTAAAATATCAATTCAATAAATACTGTCTATAAAAAATTTATTTATTATTATTAAAAAAAAAGAAAAAAGAAAAAACACGAATAGTGTTGACTTAAAAATATTAACATTTTATATAATTAAAATTTACACCACATTGCGATAAAATAATAATTGAAACACCATCAAATAATATCACAAATTATTAAGAAAAAAAAACATTCAATAATATTTATAAAATTTTCAAATAAAAAATATACGATTGAAACACTTGTTTGTTAAAGATAATGGCTAAATAACTTGATTACGAGTATAATAGTTATTATTTAATTAAATGCCTCGTTTAAACTAAACTTTATATACAAAAAGTTGAAATTCTCAAAATTGCAAATTCTTAATTTCACATAATATATATATATATGATTATGCGATATAAATTATTTAACTATTTTAATTACATTAAAATATTCTGCATATTAATACATTTTCTGATAAGTTCACACATTAAATTTTATATATTATATATTTACTAAATATGTCATCTGTACATTTATTAAATTTTATTGAATTTAACGTAATAATTATAAGCAATAAAATACAAGTAATACGTATATTTGATAAAAATTCTTTTGCTAATTAAGATAATCGAAGTACGTAATATTAGAAAATAATTAAAGATAAATTCCTCTATTTTTGTGAAAAATGTGAAGTATCGAAATTTTGTCAATAATAATTTGACAATGAAGAACAAATAGATATTAATTTATTTTACATTTTTATATAGAATATTGAAAAATGATAATCAAATGAGTTCAAAAGATATTGAAGAAAAAATGCACCTTGACGAGACAAGATGCTGCTCGCGTAAACGTAAGCGTCAAAGACAATCAAGTCTGGTTATTAGTTCGGACAATGACAAAGACGATTCTACTTATATTTCCTCGGATGAAGAATCCAATGTTCTACCAATGAAAAAACGAAAAGTGGAAATTGTCCGTAATATTTATAATAATAGTTATTTACAACATAAAAACTCTTGCGGTACCAATTGCTCTTCGAAGCTTAAAACTGCTATCGATGCAACAGATCTTATGATACCATGTGAACAGACAATGCTTGAGAGTAACACGGAAGATATAAATCCTAATAAATCGTACAATATTTCAGTTACTACAAAGCCAAAGATCAAGGTAATATTTAGGATATATATTTTTTTCCAATAATCAATTCTAATTAATTCATTATTACTGATATGGAAAATAAATATACGACTTAAAAATTAAATTATTTTATTAAGATCATATTTAGATGTAAATATATTCAATTACATAATGTAATCATGCTAAAATAATGCTCAATTATATATTCGTAATAATAATAAAAAAATGTCTATTGTGATCTAAGAACATTGTGATAAAATCTTTTTGAGTTTAGAATAGAATAATATGACAATTTTTAAACTTGCTATTTTATATTGATAATAAATAAATTTTCAATAAAATCTTAATAGTCTATATATTATGTACAAATTTAATATTACAGAATTATGAGGAACTTCCAATAACACAAAGTCTCGTTAAAAAAAAATATACTCGGCAAAAACAACAAGTCCAACAATTGCAGAAACAACAATTGCAACAGCGCATACAGAAAATTGCACCCAATAATTCTATAGCAATAAATCCAGTTCCTCTAACAAATCTTCTAAAACTTACTTTGTCATCCGGCTTGAAGCAGTTCAAGGTTACCCATGCACCAAATAAAAAATTGGTAACTGTACCAATGCCGGTGATGCCTATGTCAGAGACTACAAATAGCATTACATATGAAAAACCAACATCTCGTTTCTCAATGTCTGAAAATGTTCTGTCTCAACCGCATAAAAAGCCAACCGTACAATCATCAAATATTATAAATCTTGACAGCGACGATGAACCAGTGATTTTGGAAAACAGTGTTGACCTACACAATAGCAATACTGTTACGAGTAACAGTACGAATGAAATTAATAGTATTAACATTAATAACATTACAAATAAAATTAACACTACCAATGAAATTAATAATGTCGATGAGTCTGTCACACATGAACAGGTACGATCGAGTAAATAATTAAATAATATTCAAATTTTTTTGGAACAATTTTAAAGATATTTTACACATAAATTTATAAATAATATAATAAAAATTTCACACATTATTTATTTTTTAAAGTAAATTATAAAAATTCTTAACAGATAAATAGCAGTGATAATGTAGGAAGTCAACCGGTAGAATTGGCAAGCAAGAAATTAACAGTGATGAAAAAAAAGTCAACAGCGATAAATACAATAAACAATCAATCGAAATTAACAAATAAAGTAAACAAAAATTTTAAAATTCACCAGCGACATAACAGGTTCAAGAAGACATTATTATTACAAAGACAAGAGATCGACAATACAGTAGAGCACTTAAAAACAAAGATTATTAAATTTGTGCAAATATATAATAAAAGTATAAAATCTAATCTAAACCAACATATAATACGTTCAGCTGCAGTGTGTACGCAACGTTTTCATCAAGCAATACAAAAAGCTGTAGTAGAATTATCGCGCATAAATGATAAGGTGATGAAAGATTATGTATGTTGGAGGAAGAAGACTAAAATAATATCTAATAACCGTCAACTAAAAATTTCAAAAGAAACTGAAAATAACAATAAAGAAGAAGAATATAATGAGAATAAAGAGAAAAGTACTATAAGGTATAATTTTTCTTTGAATATACTTATATATATATAAATAAATATTTATAAAATAAATTAGATAGGTAATCAAATAATAAACGATTACGTTTCATACATTTTCAAATAATAGGTTTTAAATTTAATATTAATAATTTTATTCGAATTCAGCTTTTCTTAAATATTTCTGGCTATTAATAAATTAACAATAAACACACGCACACGCACTGACTAACTTTGTTGATATAAACATAATAATCAAATATTTAGTTATTTTATTATAATTCAAATATTCAGTTTAGTATTAAATTCTTTTGATTTCATGAAATACGAAATTACACTATTACACGATTACATAATTACATATTATTAGTGTAACTAAATTTATTAAAAATTTAACAACTTAATGTTAAAATGTTAAAAATAATTTACAGTATAGATTTATTTTATATTCATTACGAATATATATTAGCTGATCTGTTATTATATTTATTAATATTTATTAGTGTCCAATCTGCATTGAAAGATGATTTGACTCTAGAGATGATCTGTGTCAGAGATTCGGCATCCGAGTCCGACGACGAGAAAAATAAGCAAAATAATTCAGGAAATACTTTAACAGAAAAAAATGTGACCACGGTATTCTCGCCAATTGTCAAACCAATAACCATAATCAAAAGTAAATTGTCAGCAACGAAAGCTGTGGGCAATGACTCGGTCCTGATGAAGAATAAAGCCTACCAGGTGTACGATGTGCCTTGGAAAGATTATGAAAAATGCATTGGATATTCTAAATTACGAAGACTCGATTGTAATTCAGACAAGCAAAAGGAAGTGTTGCCGCCCGTTGTTCTAACTAACAAAGATTTCGGAAAGTATCAGGAACAATATCTATTTTACCTTCAACATATTGAAGATTTTGGTATTGAGACGGATGAATTGAGGGTGAATATTATTAATTATGAAATTAAAAATATTAGCATAATATTAGCAAGCTGTATTTATTGAATTTATCTAAGCTGTAGTGGTGCTTTATAATAAAATTAGAGGCATTGTAATATAAATGTTTAATTAGTTTCTACAATAATTATCACATTATTATTAATACTCTTAATAATAAAAAATATATTCGAGCAACAAATTATATTTTAATGTATAATTCGTAAATTAAAATTTTTCTGTTTTATAGGGTTTATCGAAGCAAAATCATATTCCATTAAAGGATCTGATGGATCGTACGTCACCTTTCATTGTAAATATGCTCGAGCGATTTAGTCCTATGACCCTTTCCAATGGATGCATTTCACCACCATTATTGTCCGAAACCTTCTCCATTACCAATAAACCCAAAACTCCATCAGCTCCTACTTCCCTTTCGCATTAGTCTAAAAAAAAAAAACAAAATAGATGCAGTATCTCGTGCTGCCGAAAATAGTTATACGCAATTATCAATGTCTGAAGAAATATATGATAATAATGGTTCCGATGATCAAGGACCAAAAGAATAGACACCAAAGCTTCTGATGAAAATACCACGACAACATCAAAGGCTGTGAACAAAGTTGTAAAAATAGTAACGCAATTTTCGGAATATTTATATAATAAACAATGGAGAGAAAAGGAATGTGACGAAGATATCAACTTTTAAAGTTAGACTTTCTCGGCAGTTTATTTCATTCCTAATGCTACTAGTGCAAATAGTAGCAGATACAGCCGAAGATTGATAATGATATTAGAATTATATGTAGTGATGCGTGTAATAATGATGAATGTACAATACTAAAATAAAAATCATTTGATAATTCAGGTTTTGCATGCATAAATAAGAAAAATGAAAAGATTAAGTGTTTTTGCCATAGTGCCGAGGAAAACTATTTAATTTTAAGTAAATATTTAATTTAATGCTCTTAAATATATTATTATTGTATATTATTAATATTAATTATTATTAAAATGTAAAGAAATGTAAAAATATCAATTTTATAAATTTAATTATTTATTTAAAAGTATTCAAATTAAATATTTATTTTAATATAGGAAATATTTTTATTGACAAAAATGAATATATCTTGCCATGTTCACTTTTATGTATATAAATTATCTCACGTATACATAGGTACGATTTATATTACATATATACACATAAAGCACAAAATTATTTTTATTGAATAAACAGAACATATATAACAAAAGTTATATATTGTACATATGCTTCTATGTAAAATTAGGATATATAAAAATGCGATTGCTTTTTTTTAAAAAAATTACATTTCAATTTAAAAACAAAATTTGTTAGAAATTCATAAGAAAGAATTGCACTTTGTAAACAAACGTTTTAAAAGAAACATTATTTTATTGTGTATATTTTATTGTAATTAAAATTCTCATCGACATCTAAATATATATTAAAACTTAAATTTGAGACTATTGATTTAATGTTAACTAATTTAATTTAATGTGCTAAGTTATTATCTGCGTAAAATTATTATTCTATGTATTTTTTAAATATGTATTTTTTTATTCTACAATAATAAAACGCCCAAATCTTTATAATCATCAAAATAAAGAAAGTAAAATAAAATGAAGGAAATATTTACAAATAGAATAAAATAAACCTAGATAAAACTTTTTCCAAATAATTCATCTATAAAATTATAAATAATGACTCATTCTAAAAATAAAATATATCTAAATTAGTGTATCGAATGTCTATATCTGTTTAAACATTAAATTAAAAGGACCTAAGTCCTTTTAACAAGTAACTAAAATTTTTTAAAAATATATAATTTATTTAACTTCAAAAACAATTAAATAATTGCAAATTAAATTAAATCTTGAATTTTATTATAGATTTTATTTTACAATTTTAATAAATAAAACAAAGGATAGGATGTAACAGATTTTATTAGGTGCATATTATTAAATTCTGTTTTTATAATATTCATTTATTCATACATTTACAATATTTTAATATATTAATTGTTCATTTAAAATCACTGGGCACTAGCACATTAATTTACGAAAATCATAATTAACTTTCTATGCAATAATGTAAAAAAATAAATTTTTTACGTGATAAATGTAAGGCATCATTTAATCTGATTAGAAGTAATTTTAATAACGAAACTGTCCCTTTTTACCCATACCATTGTGGTAGACTCTTAATGGTGTATAATTTCCATTACCATTCATTGCTGTAACATAGAATTATTTTTAATTAAATAAAAATATAATTTATAAAAAAATTCATTAAATTTAAAGGATTCTATAATTTTGTACTAAAATTAGAATATATATATATATATATATATATATATATATATATATATATATATATATATATATAAAAATATATATATTAAAATTTTTAATCCCCAGCACAATACCTACAACTATTGTAATGATTTTTTTTTTTTTTAATGTTACGGATAAACTGTTTTGATAGGAATAAAATAAAAATTAATATTTTAATACCAATGTTTTATGATTATTTGTTACTCAATAACGATTGTTGCCGTTTAGTTTTAAGATGTACTACAGTAATGATTTATTTATTTTCATAAAACAATGCTCTATTATATTATAATATAATAGAGTACGGAGAATGACGTTTACATTAATAAATATCTTAAAATAATGCCAATAAATTATCGCTTAATTGAATATTTCAATTATTATGTAAAATTTTTAGAACATAATTAGACTTTCACATTTTTTAATAATCTAAATTTAAAAATAAAAGCTATCTTGCTTTTATTTATTTATTTATTTATTTGTTTGTTTGTTTTTTGTTTGTTTTGTTTTTTGTTTGTTTTGTTTTGTTTTGTTTTGTTTTGTTTTTTGTTTCTTGAAGCTCGTAATATGTTCAGTGAGGAAATTATTAAAATTTTCAAATTTTATAAATATATAAAGCAATTTCAGGCAAGTCACCTTGAACGATGGTCGATGGTTGCCTCTGAGCACCTTGAATCGTTTGAGCATGGCATCTAGGTTTGAATATACCGTGGTAGAGAGCAAAATAAAATGTCGCGGTCGCAGCAGCGGCAATCGCCATACATTGGTAAATGTAACGCATCGCTTCCACCTCGTCGGCTTTGTCGATTTTATCAACACATGCACCAATAACAGCTCCAATTGCACGACCTTCCATTCGACATGAAAACATTTATAATTTAAAATCATCAATTACGTACTTAGCATTTATTGTATAAATTACAACAAAAAAAAACAAAAAAAAACAAAAAAAAAAACGAATTTATTTGTACAAAATGATTTCTTATTCACTTATCAATGTATTGTAAATAAACGGCCTTGCATTTTTCAATTATCAACATTTTATAGTTTTGTATTATTATATTGTAAATTATATTGTAAATCTCATTGTAAATGCATCACCTTTTACAAATTGTTAACACGTCCACGGATTTTTGTAATTTTACATGTATCGTTGAATCTTGGATGAATTAATTTTTCTAATACAATTTGGCCGTTTAGTTTAGCATGCGCAACATTTAATATCATATTCAATTATCTAATGCCACATCCTTTGTTAAGATGATGATGTCAGTTCTAATTGTAGTTTGAAAGAATTTGGTTGTTTAGAGGTTCAATGCTGATTTTGAAAATTAATCGCTTACTTGAGCGAATAAATACATTATTCGAAAAATATATTTTTAGATTTAAAGAAGCGACAGATTTATAGACTTATGAAGTAGAAAAAGGAAAGAATCAAACAAATCTACTATGCACTATTTTGCATATAATTTTAGTTATACATATTCCTAGTCATTTTTGTTTTGTTTTTAATAATATTACTGTTTTCAAATTTCAGTATAAAGATTTCGTTTAAGTAAACAATTATACTTTCATATTTTTCCAATACCGACTATTAATTTTACTTAAGAGCCTGCTATTTCCGCCTTTTTTTTCTTCTTTTTTTCTTTTTTTCTTTTTCTTTTTTTTTTTCGTTTCTTAACATATACAAATCACAAATACTACATAATGTATTTGAAAAACTATAATCAAGTGCATATAAATTTTATGGTAATCAGTATATTTTTGAAGTCAATATATTTTAACGTATGTATGTGTAAAATTAAAAGCGTTTATAATTTTTTATTTTCGATTAATATCGAACTATTATTTTTTTTCATAAAATGATTAAATTAGAAATTAGGAAGAACGTGTTTCATAGTTTATTACAATTGAATCGCTACTTACAGTTATAACATTTTATACAAATTTTACGGCAAAATTAAATTTTTCTGAAAATCATATTTTTCTCTATTATAAATAAAAGTATAAAAAATACCATTTGGTGTTTTTCGAAGAATCGAAGAAGTTCTTCAAAAAAAAAAAAAAAAATAAATAAATAAATAAATAAAATAAAATAAAATAATAGGCACTAATTATTTCATGTTACATTGTTACATTGTATTTAAAAAAATGTAAATACCAAAATTAAAGTACATAGTGTAGTAGTATAATGTTTATCAAATCTATAATAATAATATCTTGAAATTTCTGATTATCTTAAAAAACAAAAAAATCAAAAAAAAAAAAAAAACAAAAAAAAAACCATATTTTTATTTATAATAGACGTATAAAATTTAATATAATTTCTCTAATATTTCTAATACTGTTATCAGCTATGAGAATTGTTTAAATCGGCAGTCATTGTGATAAGACATTAAATTTAATAAACTAAAGGGTTAGAATTTCGATTTGAAACAAACTAGCAATTATCGTTTTTTCTGTAGAAAAGTATTAGTCGTGTACCTATACAAAAGTGAGCGATAACGGGAAGTGCTTGACCGGATGCAGTCATTTGTCGTGGGATCAAATGTCGGAAGTAAAGTACGGTTGTGACCCACATCATCCCAAGGGTGAAGAGTTCAAGCGCCTCGGAGATCAAGGCCCACCAAACGTCTGGAACGATGCTTAAGCCAGTAAACCTACGGAACATTTTAACGAACGATTGTACTTCTATTAAACGTATATTATATTGCGAAAATTTACATTACGAAAAATTAAAACAATTAATGTTTTGTTTTTTTTTTTTTTGTTTTTTTTCAACTTATCAAATACAACAAATCGAGTATCAAAATTATTTTTCATATACGAGGTATATTATTATAATTCTACTTTTATCATTATGTGTGAAACGAACATAACGTTTCATTTAAGTAACATAAAAAGACAATACTACATGAGACGCAGAGCATGCTTGATACATCAATTAAGCTTACGTTTAAAGTTAATTAAGTATGTGCGTACATCCATATATGTATATACACACAACATCATTAAAATTCTAAATAAATTTCAAGCAGAGATTCGAAATACTTTTTAATCAATCTATCAAAGCTCTGAAATTGTATCTCTCCATTAGTTTCGTTTGCTCGTTCGATACACATAAATCCACCACTAAACGTACGATTCTCAGACTCGGTCGGCATTTTTCATAAAGTTGTTTGTGAAATTATAAATGTGCATGAATTTTCATGAAAAATCGTCAAAAGTCTTCTTGCCTTCATTTATTATTATTTATTAATTTTAAATCTTATACACGACCAAAGGCTAAATTATATAAATTTACTCGACCTTATGAAGACTTGAAGAAGCACAAATTTATTACAATGTATCAACAAACAAAGCTCGTTTCTCTCTTAACAATATAATCGATTTATTTGGCTATTATCGTAGGGATAAATTAACATACCTAACTATATAAATAATGAATGCAGTGATGAGAAGATTGCTGTGTCCGCAGTAATCGACTAAGTGCTCGGACTTCCAGAGAAATAGGACCGCAGGCAAGGCACCCACCGTCAGAGCCAGACCAATTGACAGCTCAGTGCCTTTTAAATGAACTAAATGTCTTGGAACATTGAAATATCAATTATACACAGAGAACGCATAAAACTTATAGAATTAGAATCAACGTGTCCGGGAATAATCGAGGATCGTATATGCTTAACTTGCTTAACTGCCGAATTTCCGATAATCTACATTATGTGATAAAGTACATTACTATAGGAAAAAAATGCATTTGCTTAATGTGATAAAGAGACGTAGTTTGAAAAGCTTTGCCGTTACATTAATAATCTTACTTCGCGTGAGATTCGGCAACGAATTTAATTAACATTTTAAAATAAACATTTGAAATTATTGCGGAAATTCAAGGAGCCAAGCAAGATAAAATGCGATAATTACATGGATAGGTAGCTGTCCATCGCGCTCCAGAAGGTCCCCATGACCACAAGGACGAGGAGAAGGGCGACGGTTTCCCCGCCGTATTTCCTCACGGCGCTCATCGGCAGGGCGAGCATGCCATTTCGCGTATGCCACCACCATTCAGGGGGACTAAGGGGCATGTCGTTGGCGGAGAGGCAGATGCACGCCGCCAGGAGGACCAGTAGCACGTGCAGCACGATGGGCGCGTAGTAAGCCGGACTGGGGCCAAGGAGAGTGGCGAGGTAACCGCTGAGAGGGCCGAACGCAGCAAAGCCCAACGAGCCGAACGCTTTATCGACAGAGCACAAAGGAGCTTTTGTAAATGTCCTGAGAATTTCAGTTGCGAGAGATTCGCCCGATAGGTGACAAATACCCTCATTGGCGACTGTGGATTATCGATAGCCACAGCCTTCGAGCCTTAATCGAGTCTCCGTTTTAAACAGCCATGTTAATTGCAGAGAAGTAATGCACGAATTAATACATTATTATTTACCCCCTTTGAGGATAAATGTACATTACGTTTGTTAATATTGAACATGATAGATAATGCTCGTATTGCAATATCAATATGTCCCGAAAATCTTTATTTTGACTCATTTTCATATTCGCGAGTTTATTATTAGAATTAAGAATGAAGTAAGTTAAGAGTGAAGAGTTTATAAATAATTTTGCATTTAAATAACTGTATGTGATAAAGTATGTGAATTGGAGCTTTGAGAGAAATATCATTTTTATTTATTGTTTATATGTGTAATTGTGTAGTTATTGTTGCGCGGCATATTGCCTATTACCTATTAGTCATAAAAATATATTTAATAAAGTCCTTTTGATTTGCAATATCGAAATGATAAAGCCATTGATGATTTAAAAAAATTATGAAAATTCTTGATCACTAAGATTAGGAATTTACGGATGGAAGTGTGAATAACGAGACTCACCTAATTGACGACCAACGTCACCGCGACCCGTGGAAGTCTCTCTTGTGGCGATTACGAGTGCCGCGTCGATAAGGGCAACGGCAGCCGTTGGAAAGATGTCGGCCAAAGAACGGATTGCAAGATACATCCAAAACGTCAATTGCTCATTACCAATCACCTGCCGGCAATGGCTCTCCGCCAATATGCTCTTCTCTACTTTAATTGATAATGAAAATCGTGTAATTTGTAATTTATAGCTTCCGTTCAATCGTAAGATTATCTTATTTATCGTGTTAAGAGAATTTTTTAGAATTGAGAACATTGATTTGCTAGACGATTCTTCATTCTTATAATGCTTTCCTCGATAAATTCTAAACAACCTATTAACTCGTTCAAAAATTTTCATAAAATACGGCACATAAGCCAAGTTACGTTAATAACGGTCTTCGGAAAATTTTTGATCGATGATTTATTGAATGTGTGCCCCCTTTATAACGAGCATGTCATTAGACAAAAATCTACCTTCTCACAATGAAGATAAAAATTATCTCATCACTCATATATATATATATATATATATATATATATATATATATATATATATATATATATATATATATATATAATTTGAATTTTAAATAATATATATATATATATATATATATATATATATATATATATATATATGCACTTTAAGTATTGCATTTAAAAATCTCATTTTAAAAAAATCTTTTTTAAGAAAATTTCGTCTAATAAATGTCTCATCTCGGCGCATTCATTACCCATTAAATCAACGCGCTCCTTTTCTCATCCAATACAACCGGGCTAATGGATAATTTAAGAGGAGGGGGGCGGGGCGGGAGAGGAGGATAAAAAAGTAAAATAATTGGACATCTCGTTACCCAAATCGCTGTCGTAGGGATTGTCGAGGAGGCACTCGACGAGGCAAGTCTGATTAACTTGAACCATGGAACGCTCGATTTCCCGAGGCACCCTGCAGTCGAAGAATTGCGCCACCGGATAAACGCACCAGTCGTTCGTATCTTCCGAATTGATGGCCTGCCTCATGCTCACATTCACCGTCACGCCGTTACGTGATTCCGTGAAAACATGGCAAACGGTGCGACCGTTACTGTCACCGTAGCAAACGTGTGGCGATTCGCTCTTTGGTAGGGCGTACCTACGCCATTTGCCTGCGCAATCCCAATAAAAAAAATCTCTAAAATTATTAAGCTTGGGATAATGTTTGTGAGATGTTGATGAGAGTCCCAGAGTTTGGAGCGAGACTCGAGCTAAGACGACATATGAATAATAATTAAGCGCCTGGGCAATGCTGGCACGCAATGCTCATCGATTCAATCAATCGAGAAACAATAATTCTGATGCACTTGCATACTCGTCAGCTAATGACATTAACTCGACTAACGAAGCTCACCTGAATTTAACCCTCTCGTTTGCTCCGGAGCTAACGAGCTGCGTCCATTAGCCTTCAGGGGTATGACTCCAAGCTCGCCACTACTCTCTACCTCGGAGTCGTCGTTGAGACTCGTGTCGCTCATGAGTGGAATGACACTCACCGGAGATGAGTCCATTTGAGCTGGTGGAAACTTGCCCTTCTTACGCTTCTCATCGAATGGGTAACACGCATAATTGCACTTCTCCAAGCGCAATGCACCGATCGAATCCTCGTTTGACCATCGATGACAACCAATAGCATCGCGGCACCTATAAACGGGGAATTTAATACCTACACACGCACTCTTACGCCGCATATTATTTTAAGTTAACAATGATACTCTTATGGAATTGCGATTTTTTCTTTTTATTTTTTCGAGCTATTATATTTATATTCATCGAGGCGATAATATAACGTCTTATTAAAGCTTGACTAATCCTGTTCATTTAGATTAAAAAAAAAAAAGGTAACAAAGAAAACGCTCTTTTAATAGCGAGAAGAAAAAAATAGGCTTCCCATCGTTATATATTGCATAGAATTTAAATGAATTGCCTTTAATCCCGTCTAGCCAATGTATTGACAATGTATGTCTGTTCAATTCCGATACACGTATTTTTTTCCAAAGTCTTATTTAATAAAATTGGATGGACGTCATCCGAGTTTGAACGAGCATAAAAAGCATGCGGCCGGCTCTTCTGCCAATTCATCTTCTCATTCGCTCCCGAAAACCAATAAATTTTGCCCGGAAGATCGGAACATCGTGAATGAACATGGGATGACGGTTTTTTAAGGCCGAATTGTTTAACAACCTTTCCTGATGGATAACGGCGCCATGATCGTCGCAGGAGAACCTAACAGCTGGTCGCAGCTCGTGCGGAAGCTCGATCCTTTCGACCGCTGGTACCAGCAGCAGTAATGAGTAAAATAATGCAGAAAAAACACAACAGACGGCTATCATGACGCGCAGGTAGCGGCCGTTGTTCGGACTCGTTGCTTTCTCTTCGGTATTTTGGGAGCGCAGCCGGGCGGCAGCAACACGATCTGCCAGCGGTCCGGCTATCATCGGACCGATGATCGCAACCACCGGGGCTATCATCGATATTGTGCCGATCTCTTGGACAGTCAGACCCACCGCCAACATGTGCAGGGGCAGAAATGGAAGGAGACAGCCCATCCCTGCAATGAAACACTTGGGCTTAAACTTTTTATTATTCGAACGACATCGTGAGATCACGATGAATAAACTGTAATAGCCTATTATTATTTTTTCTCTTCGTTTCTTATTTTTAACTACTCTCAATGACTTTGACTCGATCAATTTGACAGTTATAAGATATTAGCCGATAATAATTTTACATGGTGATGAATTCTAGTATATTTAACAAATACCATTACCGTTAAATCTATGAATATACTCTATTCTAGATAAATTTACACTTGATCTTCCTGCTCCATTACGAATGAATTTATAACTTTATTTATTACGTGCACTATTACGTGACAAACAAATATAATTAATGTCTAATTTAGATGAAATTATAAATTATTATCTTTTCATGTTATTATTCCAATTTTAGCCAATAATTTGTTATTATATATTACCTCCAAAGAAAATAAACAGCATAAATTTAAGAGAAATGAGGTTGGTATTAATAAATTTGTTTTGAATATCCATGCTCTTGGCGTCGTCAATTGTCTCAACTGTTGAATCCATGATTGCGTTAGATTGACTTTTATCAACAGCTTTTCTCGGTATAAAGTTGCTTGATTACAATAAAGTTACTTTGAACGCCAATTTGTAACTTCATCGCTTTACATACGCCGAGGCTAACAAAACTCTTGCTTCTCTTCTTTTTTGCATCATCTTTCCTTTTCTATAGAGTGTATTTTCTACAAAAAAAAATAATATCGTTCGATATGAATTATACATTGAAAATACTCTCAAGTAACATATTATTTTTATAAGAAATTGTTATAGATAATATTTTAATCTTGTTTACATAAAAAATTTTTTTATGATAAATGTTTATAGATAGATTTATAGATAGAAAAAATTTCATAATGCAAGATGAGCGTTAAGATGTTTTTAACAATGATAATTCAAAATATAAAATATATACTAATAAATACAATAGCAATTATCGTTGCAATTACTAGAAATACTTAACTATATTGTAGATAATTTATAAATTCAGATATATATGAAAACTAATGTGAAATTAAATAAAATAAAAAATGTATTTGATTAAAAAATTTTCAGAAAATCATTGAAAATTATATTTCAATAATAAATTTAATTAAAATAGACTTAAATTCTTTAATCACTCTGCAATATATAATCGAATAAAATATAATTCAAAATGTATTGATACAAAATTAGTTTTTATTCTGAGTATTATATATTAGATATGATTATAAACAAAATTTTAGGCCTAATAATATAAGTATATAAATTAAGTTTCTCCATATACTATAAGATATATTTTAAGAAATATTTATATATTTTAGTATATTGAATAATAAAGATTTAGTTGCTCATCATAATTTCATTGCGTAAGTTTGATCACGAATTTATAATCAGTGCATCTTACAATCGTCAGGTGCAAAATTTTGATCGAGTCTCTTATTTATTTTTATTATTTCGTTATTATAATTTCAGTTCAATGTTTACATTAAATATAATATTTTTATTTCAATTCTTACAGTCATTCTTCATAATTTCGTTAATGTTTAAAATGTTAATTTAATAAACAATTTTATAAAAATGTATAAAATGCATGTAAAATAGTATAGTATAGTATACAAGCTTATTAATATTTTAATATTGTAAATAATAAATTACTATTTATTGATAAAATGAATATATTTTTATTTTTAAACTATTAAAATATCAGCTGTGTAGCAAATAAATTATATCGAATAATATATCGCAAGTGCCTGTACTTATATTCGTAGCATATCCTTAAATAATAAAAAAAAAAAAAAAAATGTTATCCACAACAATACTAAATATAGCTGGTCAGTCGACTAAATTTTAATTCTTGAATAGCATAAGAGTTTTCGATAATCCATATAAGCTCTTCTTCACCAGACTCTTATATACACTCTATTACGACTTATGATTTTTATTTGGCCCAAAGAATTAACAATAATACGTAGCAATAACGTCTGATTAACAAGTGTAATTCCCTATAAGTATGGACTCGCTTCAAAAAAAATAATGGACGTACTATCATTGAAATTTAATATATATTGATAAAAATTTTTTTTTTTTTTTTTTTTTTTTTTTTTTAATACAACACAGAAAAGGAGAGAATAAGAATAAAAAATAGGCTAATTCAAAAGCATACGCTTAGAAAGAATATAGGAAGATAAGCGCCAATGATGGTTATTAAATTTGCACACATCAAAAGCACATAAAGTTCATAGATCTAAAATTCAATACATATAATAGCAATATAAATTTTCATTATAAATTATATTCTCAGTGTTGTTATTTTATTTAGTTTTAATTTAATTCGCATTTCTTGGTTTTTAATAAATATCTGATTTTTTTTTTTTTTACTTTATTATATGAATTTCATAAATTTTATATATGTATTTAATTAAATATTTATAATTATTTATACAATGTGCTTTTTTCGCATTGTTATAAATGTATATTACATATTTGAATCCTATTACTTTGTATTTATATCTTTGAAATATTTTATATTAAAAATTTTACTGTCTTATCTCATTGATAATGAGATAAATAAAATGTCAATATAATAATATAAGCTTTAATTTTTGTACTCTATTATTTATTTTTAATATATGTTTAATATAATATATATAGATACATATGTATAATACAGATTATAATATAATTTAGTTAGAATCCTGAATTATAGCTAGATTGATTATTGTAATTAATTGCTAGACAAATAACAAATCAATCCAAGTCCATTCTAACAACAGCCTACCAACCTTATACGAATAATATTTGATAGAAATAAAAAATATTTCAAAATTTTATTATAATATATAATTTTGTTCAAATTTTATCTTCATTTATTTAACATAATGGTTAATTTATATTTTATATAGCAATTATTATGCGAATACTTGATCATAAATAAAATAGTTAACTATTATCATTTATCGTTAAAAACAACAAACGTAAGCATAAAAATTACACGAATAATTAATTTGCAAACAGTGTGGTGTAGGGTATGATGAACATAGGAATTCAAACGTAACTATGGACCTGTCATAGAGTAGTTTACCGTAATTCGTGAAAATCATTTCATAATGATTGTAAAGAGTTAATTTAATATATAATATGAAAAATATAAATTAAACAAACAAAAGTACGGTTTAACAATTACTCAGTGCATATCATTTAATAAATAAATGGCAAGCTTAATACATAAAACTAGTATTTTTTAATTTTTTAAACAGTGCCATTCGCTCATTTTCATATATAATTAGTTTTCAAAAAGCTGTATTCTAAATTACGATAAAAGAAATTACAATTTACACCACATACAAACAGCAAAATGTAAATCTTTTTCCCTATATTTTCATAAGCATACTTTTTATACTTTCATCGCTTCTACTTTAACGTGCTTTAAACTAATTATGTTTAATAAAAGAAATTTCATTATAGTAGTCTCTAGCAATGATTGTTATTATTAACGACTTTTTAAAATAATATGTGTGTGTGTGTGTGTGTGTGTGTGTGTGTTTATTTTTATAATACATAAAATTTATAATAGTGAATCAAATTCACTTAAACTAGAAATTAAAAGATTAATAATGAAACAGAATATTATTATTGGTATAAAAATGAAATTCTTTTTTATTTCAATTTACATTAGCAAAGTTCAGGAATTCTATTATACTAATTTGACTATTACTGGTCAACAGGTAAATAAAATAATAAAATAATGTATACATACTTTGTTTAAAATTTCGCATAATTTCGCAGTGTAAATTTATATATATTCATATAGATCGACTATTAATTAAATAATATTACGATATTAATATACGCGAGATAATATTAAAGCAATCTTTTCGTAATTGCTCGCATTTGAACGTTGATGTTCAAAGTGAATGATTCTTTCAATTGCCTGACTATTCCTTGAGTTTCAATTGGCCTGAAACGGCCTTCTATAGCAGAAACGAAGAACAATTAACATAAAATTTTTGTTCTAATACGGAAACTTATTACATAAATAAGCTAATGCCGTTAATAGAATTTAAAAAAAAAGAAAAAAACATAAAAAAATTTATATCAACAAATCGAATAAATACGAATACAGTATTTATTGATATAAAAATAATTTATAATTTTCGCACATTAACGGCCGAGTGACTATACAAACGAACACACTTCAAATGATTAAACAAGAAAAGCTAATTGGCCACTTACCAATGAGCGATTTACACAGTTGTACTCTGATATATCATATGCAATATATAGATTAATGCATCGTGTCGGCGCTATTTTACGGTGACATACCGCACCGAGTATGCAATCCTGTGTTTTCGCCTTTTGCTCCCTAACGGAACTATATGCATGAGCTCGATTCGCTACTCCTCCCACGCCTTTTGTTCGCAATTATAACGTCCGGTTTCTTTTAGCGGCGAGCGCCTCTGGCAGGATCCAGTAGCGTTGGAGCTTTATTTTGCCTCTAGCATTTGGAATGCTCATGGCACATGCCAATGTGGGACAATTACACGCGAATACCCGTATGATCTTTCAATTTTAACCAAAAACTTTTCTACTTTCGACATTTCTTTATTTATAGTTCTTAACGCCGCATCTCGATATTAGATTGTTAAGTTGCTACATCAATTGCTGCACTATTTTCGCGCGGCAGCACCCTACGGGCATATAATTACAAAAAAAATATTGCTCGTTAAAACAAAAATTATACCGTTAAATTCGATAAGATAACCGATAATGCATTTAATTTTGATTACAATGCACGTCGATCGCTTCCGACAAAGTACTAAATTTTAACGATGTTACCGAATTTCCGAATCAATAATTCAATGAAATTTATGAAATTATAATGAAATATTGTTATCGACATTAAATGTTATCGATATGTTTTTATTTATTTCCTAAAATCTTGTATCAAATCAAAAAAAAAAAAGAAAAAAAAAAACTACTAAGAATTCTTTTAACGCACAATTAATTATGCCCTTATAATATAAAATATAACTTTCATTATCTTAAAGTGACAATCAAGATTATTAAAATAACAAACATAACAAACTTTCGGAAATACTCATTTACTATATTAGACCGTAAAATTGCAAATTGAACGTACAACATTCGTATAGAATTTAATACACAATATTGGCGAACCACCGATAAGGAAACTTATATTTAATCTTGAGATTGAAAAGTAAATTAGCTTCGGTGCACTTTAACAATTCTTGATAATGAAAATAATACATAAAAATTTCTTTGAACAAAGGAGCAGAGTTTTAGGATACTATAAGAAAAAACTATTATGGCTCAAATCTTATCTATATTAGAAATTATTATATTTCATTATAGTTACTACTATAATGCATGCCATTTATTTAGTTTTCGCAATTTATTAAAGTTACATTTGATCGAATAGCTAGAAAAAGTGCTCGAAAAGGATTATTTATTTAATTCAATAATTATATCAAAGTCATTAATTATAATTAATCGTCGGATTTATGAACATGAAGACTATTGTGAAATATAGAGGAAATTCAAATAGAAAAATATAATTTTTTATATTAATATTTACTTCGCAATAATGTCAAGATATACATTGTTTGTTGTCGATTGGAAATTTTGATTATTGTAGAAATTGTTAATTTGTTGTAAAAATTGAAGAATTGAGAAACAAA